TGAAAAACAACACTCTCTCGTCTCAAACTACGTTATAGGAAGCACAAAATATAACAGAAAAAAAACAAAAACAAAACCAAACCACATTACATTACATTACATTTTCCAGGCCTTGAATTGCTCTTTTGGCATCGCTAGATCCACCAAAATAAAGACTCCCAGAACTAAGGCTGGAAAATAATTCACCTGCCTTCTGGCGGGGAGGTGGGGGAGGCAGAGCGATGAAACTGCCCGTCCCCGCCGGAGCCCGGGCGGGCACAAGGCAGTGGGTCAAGTATTTTTTGTTTTTTCAAGTACCAGGTTGTCGGACACACACAGAGAGAGAAGCAAAAAGCTGATGCAGAGAGAGGATTATCTTCGAAAGTGATACGGAAGCTCAAACCCCAAAGTTCAGTCCAGAGCACCAGTAAGTGCTCGGCCTTTTCCCAGAGGCGGAGACTCGGAGCATCCTGCAGGGAACCACCTTCGCCCGGGAGAGACCATCACATCCTCCCACAAAAGCCTCTAGTGCTACCGGGCCACTAAAGAAACAGCTTTGGGTCTATAATGGCATTTATGGGATGCTAGCCCAGGCCAGAAAAAGGCTCGCTATTTTTGTGAAAATTAAAAAAATCTCAACATAAATCAATCCCCAGCTCGTTAAACTCATTTTCTGTTCTGGACAGGCGCACTAGTGATGGGAGTGCCCAAATGCTTCTGTTCTCCTTTCTGTTTGTTGGGCTTTTTTTCAAGCCATTTTCCTACCTTGGGGTTCCTATATTTATACTTTGCAGCACATCCCTCGACAGTCAGGGCTCGATCCTGCCCAGCACGGGTACCCCCGGCGCAGCCCCCGACACCAGCACCGCCCCGCTGCAACCCAGAGGGGCAACGGGCAGAGGCTGCAGCGGTGCCTCCCCCCGGCCCGTGCTGGAGAGGGGCACAGCGCCACGTCTTACCCACTTGCATCAGACAAATTGTCTCCATGGATATTTTTCCATCATTACCGCTGCCCTACTGGCAATAATCTCCGTTACGAGTTCCCTCAGTCCGTGTTTCCGCAGGCGACAGAGCGTTCCCGTCCACCGGGTTCGCGCATGTAAAGGATCTGAAGCGCCAACTGGAGACATTTATTTCTACCGAAGAACATCTCTCAAATGCTTAACAAATCCCCGAACCTATACAAGCGTTCAACCGAATTTGAGGTTTGGAGACACAGAAGAAGAGAAATAAGGCAGCAAACTCCATCTGCAACGACCTCTTTTGTCTTACTATCGCCAGAGCTCTCCCACGCTTCGCGCGGCTGCGCGCCCCCGACCACGTGCAGGGTGGGCAACTGGAACAGCTGGAATTTCTTGCCGAACTCTGAAGTGTTTTGATTCAGTAAATAAATTTATGAGAACTCGGTTACCTTAACCTACTTTTGTGCAAGAACAATCTTGCCTTAAAAAAAAAAAAAATTCAACAAAAAAAAAATTCAACAAAAACTCCCAAAACCCAACATATGAGGTATTCATCACAGGAAACCCAAAGACTCTTTGAACAGGTATCAAAATACATACATATACAACAATTATTATTTTTTTCTGCTGTCACAGTGCACTCTAATTATTTAATCTTTTTCATTTCAACAAAATATCCAGTACAGATAAAGTGAGAGAGTTTGATCATGTCCCACAGCTTTGACATGAAGAACAAATTTACAATTTATAAACTGCGAGCCTTTGGATTACCTTAGAGAGGCAGAAATTTAGCAATCGTTAAAGCACACTGCTCAGTTCCCAACTAGGGAAATACAACATAAAAGGTTAGAGCTTCAGAAATTGTTAAGATTGATCACCTAAAATTGTATTTTATTTTAAAAGTTTTGCTTTGGATTATTTCAATCCAACATCTGATGAACAAGAATCCTTTGTTCATACAAAGCACTATCAAACAGACATACGTTATTCCAGTTATCAAACACTTCTTGTCTTTATATTTGACACAAACATTACATAAAAGTCATGAAAGAGAATTTCCATGGAAGAGCTAATATTTCTTCAGAGTATGAAGATATGAAGTGACACTGATACCTCCCCAAGCAAACCACTGCGTCGCACTCGTCCACTCTACGTCGGGCTCTCCTACACAACGCCCACTGCTTTTGCAGGGAGCGGTGCCCAAATTTCCAGTTGCTCCTTCCCACCTCTCCTGCAACGACCGGTCAGAAAACCCTCGTGGCAAACATTCTCTCAGCCTTGTGTGTTCCGAGTGAAGCGGACAAGCTAAAAGTTTCCTTTTTTTTTTTGTTTTTGCTTTTTTATTCTCCCGTGTGTGTGTGTGCGTGCGAGTTCTCTGCTGGCTGGCCAGACCCAGAGCACGTGGAAGAGGAAGGACGACCTTCAGCCTGCCATATTGCTTGCTGTAAGTGTAAGTGTCAATCACAGTGCACACCAAAATTCCAGTTTTGTTGCTCGATATACAGGCTATCCTGTTAAGCATATTCCCCTTGACAGTAGGATTGTCCCAGAGCTGTGGATGCCAGAGATAAGCACAGTAATTCGTATACAGACAGTTGCTGTTACAGTAACCTGAAGTCTTTTTTCTCTCTTTTAATTTCCATTCATACTTCAGTCCTCGAAGACAGAAAAGAGCATCTCCTCCAAATGTGCTGTGCGTGGCTGGACACTTATTCTTAGAAACATGAATGCTAGGCATAAAAATATAAAGAAAATAAGGCATTACAAATGAGTCGAAGAAAACGTACAGAGATCCTGCTCTTGACACAGATTAACTTTGGTCGTTCGTGACCAAAAGGAAAACAAAACCAAAAATTCCCTACTTAAAGTAAATGCCAGAAAGTTCTGCCTGAGCAAAAAATTACAAGTTTAATTCTATTTTTCCCCAAAAGAACAAGTGATTCCTTGGTGGTAGAAGTCCATCAGAACCTGAGAGCAAAGGTCGCTGGTCGCACTGTTGGGGATCTTCCCCTGCGAGAGGAACAGGGTAAGGTCCGGTGACAGTCACACACGTACCGCGGTGCTTCCCGAGGGGAACTGCTGCTACAGATCAGCTAGGGAAAAACGAACAGGAGCGTTCTCACCGAAATCCTTCCGGTGTTCCTCAGTTTTCATGTGTTCTTAATTTAGGGCACAGAGAAAGTTGGTCTTTTCAAAACCCATCATTAATACGGATATATTACATCTGTAGAGACGGGGGTGTGCGTGGGGACGGACAGGGCCAGAGTAAAACCCTGTTCATTTCTCCGAGTAACATCCTAAACAAATCAGAAAAGTACAATGAAGAAACTGTTCTTAGAAATGTAAGTTTTGTTTCTTCTTTTTTAATTACGAAGCGCCAATGAAAAAGACATTGCAGTCACAAGGAAGCCAAGTGTGAGAAACCCACAAATTTAAAAGAAACTCAGCTAAACAGGAGAGGAAAATGACTTTTCTTATCTTGTCCTTGCCTGAATTTCTTCGATGAAAACATAAGATGTGCAGCTTTTTGCTTTTTTTTTTTTTTTAATCCCAGAAAAGTTTGGGAACGAGGTGAACTGAGGGTCTGACAGAGTCTCCTCTCCTGCAGGACCGCGAGATCTTCTTTACTGCTGTAAGTGGCACATGCCTTTTTTTTTTTTTTTTTTTTTATAAATTAAATAAATGTTAGCATTGTGGAAAATTCTCAGTAGAGTACAAAAGAGTTCATGCAGCCTGCTAACGGCTGAAGCATTTGCTGCCTACCATATAAATACAAATACTAAGAATTCATTCACACGTCTGCGGAGTCCTACGGAGGCATGCCGGTCTACCAGCGAACACGCAGGGAAGCCACTCCAGAAGCTGCATGCTGTCACATCACCGTCCCCAGCAGCGTTTCCTACACCGCTCTATGAGAGCGGAGATCCCTAAAGCAGTTCACAGCGGTCACAGCCACCGACCGAAGCATTTGCAACCGGGAAGAGGGAGAAGACACAAAGCTTGAGAACTTCCGATTGAAGTTTTTACAGTGCTTCTTAACTGGGATTTTGGTAAGGATCCATCTTGGTATATGATCAAAACAAGAACGTGTGCGTTAGTAAATGAACTCCCATCAGAGGACGCTTAGTTTTCAAAACTCAGCTTGTTTTTACATTCAGTCTCCCGAGACCACACACCACATCGTAGCCTATGGGCTGAAAATTACACTGAAAAACAATAAAGCTGTTTTTAAATATGGGAGAGCAAAGGGGGAAAACAGCTAGATTGTCCATAAGCAACAACTGGGCTCTTTCTTACGCTCCTAAACCTCAGGAACACGTTTGTTTATATTTGCACAGACACATATTACGTATAACTCCACAAAAATCTAAGAGTGTTCCAGAGTAAACTATTTTCCATGACAAGTGTCGACTAAAGGATGAGGCTGGACGGCCAAGAGCTTTGGCCCTGGGGGGAGGAATGGGGGAGCAAACAAACAAAACCAGAGGATGTGATGGAAGTCGAGACAGACCCTTAACCACCGTGGCACCAACGGGCGACGTAATAATAATAATAATGCACAAGAAACAGGCATGTCCAAGCTCCACGTAACCAGTGGCACCAAAACATGCAATAGACTAAAATCTATCCTATTGTTTCCCTGTGATAAATGAAACACAGAATATATAAGTCACTACACCAGTATTCAAAACATGATGCCACTAAGTGTTTCTTTCAGTGGCCAAACACTTGAACAAGGCATCAACTAGAAACCAAGATCCAACTCATCGCTTTTTGTGTGATTTCCTCCTCAGCTTCACAGTGACCCGATACTGGATTTCCTAAGCGGGGCATGAACTGTTTTGCCTTACGAACATCACTGATGCGGGTACGTGGGACGAGGTCGTTACCACTTAGGTTACTCCCAGGAAGCGCTCCCAGCAGTAAGTAGCAGTTCACAACTAACCTTCAGCAGAAGTTCAAAAAAAAAAAATCATTTAAATAGGAATTTTCACGTCTTTAACAGAGTCTCTTCATCTGAAACAACACAGTTATATCCACAGAGCAGCATCGAGTTTATCAGACAGTACAGGACTTGTCAGTAGGCTGCTGAGATGCAGAGGAGGCGACGCCGGGGCTCGTGGCGTTTGTTTTGGGGAAAACTGTAGGCTTCGGCCGAGTTGCCGGAGGTTTCACCTGGGTGGCCATTTTGACCGACTTCACTGGCCTGAAGGTGCAGGGTATGTCGCCGGCTGTGCTGGCGCTGCGCTGGAAAGCCGGTTCAGTGTCCTTGAGGATCTGAGTGTGCAGAGGGCTGGAAGGTTCAGAGGTGGGGGCCACCACTGGAGACGTTTTCAAAGGCTCCAGGGTGTCGAGGACAACATCTGGCGTGTGCTTTACGCTGCTTTGCCTTTCCAGCTCCCGCAGCTCGTTCAGAGCAGAGTTCATAGTAGCTTCAATATCCTGCAAACACAAAAGAGAAACCAAGTGAATAACAGAACCCAGAGACATAAATACAGAGATAAAAGTCAGTCTTTGAGAACGACGTATTTGTTTTCAGCCTGTAAACACCAACACTCAAATCAACCGGTGGGTCAAGGACCTTTAGGTGTCGAAGTGAAACCCACGCCAAACTACACAGCACTACATACTGAAGCCAGTAAGAAGTAATGTTTTCCATCAACAGGGAGCAAAATAATTGCTCACACTTTCTCAACGTTAATGTGGTCCTTTACTGGTCCCGATGCTGCTTGGACGTCAAAGACGAGCACAATCCCAAAATGCAGCAATGAACAGAAAAACATGTAATTCAAAGCATCAGGATCCACTCCTGTACTTTATTTGGCATGTAAATTCTCGAAGACTGATGATTTTGACATTGGCTGATGAGCCACACACCGAATGCTGAAATCTTTGTGTCCTCTTGCTGCCCCTTTGGTTTTCCTGCTGTCCGAGTAATCTTCCCTTCCCAGAAAGGTATTACACGGGACTCAAAATTTTAACGTTTTAGAAAACACAGAAGACATCAGAAACATACATAGAAATTCAAGTTGGCACTTCTCCTTCCTCTTATAAAACATGACAGTTGTTAACAAATAAATATAAAGAGAGATTTGAGATAAACCCGTGGCTTTTTGTGTTCTCAGGCGCAGCAGGACCTACATGTTTGCTACAGCCGGCGCTGCGGAGCCCGCTGGGGCACGGAATTCACCGGAGAGCAGAAGAGCTCAGCCTTTCTGTGACTCACAGCTTGGCTACAGCTTTTTAGCTTCCTTAGAGGTTTTTCAGGGGGTGGGGAAGGTAAATCAGCGAAGGAATGGTGGAAGGAACCAGAGACAGTAATCTGACACCTCCCGGTCTATCTTGAGGCCAGGCAGATTGTACTGACGAAGTTGGGGGGAAATATGTAAAATGCATGATGATTATTAGACGGTGTTTGAAGAGATGCTACAGGGCAAAGAGAAACACTAATTTAACACAAAAATTCTCCCCAGACTCTTCTCCAGCGAAAACAATGGAGTTAACGTTCTGGCAGGAAGAGGAGACAGAACAACTTCAGTTACAGCTTAATTGAAAAAACAAAGAAACTGATTTATGTCAACCAAAGCCTTGGAAGGACAATGAAATATGAAGACAACAAGAACCGTATATTATAATTCCACTGGAATAAATGGGCTAAAGATATTAATAACAGCAACATACAACTTTCCATGAGAGTACGTATCAGATTTTTATTTGGACCTTATTTATTACTTGGCTGTTTTGTCACTAAAAGTGATGTTGAATGTTCACGTATCTTCCCCCAGCTCTTTAGAAACCAGGCAGGGAAGTCAGGTCTCCCAGGGCTGGCTTTGTAATCCGAGACCAGGCATTCCTTGGCTTTAGATAGATCCATGGCATACTGAGAGCAGTTGGTAGAGGCAACACACGTGTGCGGGCACATCTCACAGCTTGGGAGCGGGAGAAAGGGAAGATCCTTCATGGAAGAGGGGAAATTTGTAACATTTACATCATTCACCCCACTAGTAGCTGTCATCCGTTCAAAATCTAAGCCTGACTTTCAATTGTTTTCTGTTCTCCTGGTGAAAGCACAGATGCAAAGACACCGCTTGCCTTTTTGGTACCAGCAGTGGCTGCTGTGGCAGCTCACAGTCCCGGAGACGGGGAGGGGACAGACCTCTGCGCATAGTGACGCAGAGAATACGCACAGAGACGAAGAATCCGCAATAAACCAGTCTGTGGCAAAATTAGCAAAGACGAAGGAAAAATCCTACGAACACCTTTCCCTTTAAGCTGCACAGAAGGGATGTGAGCAGAGGGTTTCCTTGTTGCCTGGTCAGTGTGTGGAGTCGGTCCCAAAAGCCGAGCTCCGTGTAAAGCCAGAGCACGGCGCATCGGCAGCCTGCCCTCACGTCGAGGCACTTCTCTGAACAACTAACTAATGAAAACGAGCACTATTAGGATCAAAGTTGGTTTCTAGTCACACGCTGAACCCTGTGAGCATATAAAGATGCCACTGTGAGCACTGTGCAGCTCAGCAGCCTGCTTTTATTTTGACTGTGCTACTGCATATGCTTCCAATGTCTAACCACAGGCAAGTGTGTAAAACTGACAGGAGAATGTTAAATTGACACTAAATACTTTACTTTTCTCATGTCTTGAAGTCATGATTGTTTAATTTTTTGCTGACAGCTTTGGAATCTGTGTAACTTTCTGAAATGGACGTTTTTATTGTTGAAACTAAATTCTGAAAAAATGAACAGGGCCAAGTTTTTATGGAGGAAAGACCTGACTGTTTATCTTCCCTCGTGAAAGCAGCCTCAGCGACTCACACAAAGTGAGGCCAAAAGACTACGCTCAAGCTGTGGAGTAAGTGAACGTTGCTTGGCGAGAAGGGAAGGGATATGAGATTAAATCAGACGTCTCACTGTCTCCAACGTCCTTTAAGTTTCCCCAACAAATCTGTACGGCAAAGCACTCCTATTTACCTGTGCAATAACTTCAGGGTCCATGGGCCGGTGGTTGTTGAAGCTCTTGGACCTCCCGGCTGTCACAGTTTTCCGGATCTGAGGGCTGTCTATCCTGTTCTTCAGAGACGAGTGTCGGCTGATAGAATTGAGGCTGCCGTGGCCACTGATGGAGCATTTATCTGGAACGTCCTTAGGAAGACTTTGGCTCATAATGGGCTGAGATGAGGGTCTGGAACCGGCTATGGCTCCTGGGGAGGCTGGTTCTGCCATTGAGCTACCTAGTCCATGGCTGTCACTTTGACGGAAGGCTCTTCTGATGCTGCCTGACTCTGGTTTCTTTCTTTGCCTTCAGTCACAAAAGCAAAACAAGTCAATACAAGCAGGTACACATAACGGGCTGTCATTTGAAGATATCCCCCCAAAACAACACAGAGGACAACGGGAAGAGACACAAAGATACCCAGATTACAAATACACCCAGGATTTTAGGCATCATTGTGAGACAGTAAAATTATAAATCATTCCAGTTTAACACCTCTAACAAGACTGAGTTTCTGGCAGCTGTGCACATTCACAGCAAAAACAGAAAACTTGGATGGAACGTAATTAACTTGGTCAAGAAGAAAAGAATTTATATTTGAACAAAAAAAACCCTCTGTGCCATCAACAGGTTTTGATGATGTGTTTTTATTACATTAGAAGAGCAGAGCTACAATTTTTTGACTGGAGGACACAGTATAAGTCTACTAAGCTCCTGGCCCAAGGCATCAAGTTGTTATTTTCAGAGATTGGCAAGCAAAGAACCCCACAGTTTGGGGTTAACGATCAATTCCAATATTTGCTGGTGGTAATAGATGTTTCTTTTTCCACTGCTTTAGCAGGACCATGAGGCATTATCTATGTAGGGCTAGAGATATACCAAAAGATGATGTCAAATGGATGAGCTGGTCCAAACAATTTAGTTTCTACCCCAGCGGTCTGACAGCACGATTCCATTCAAACCATATGAATGCAGCAGAATACTTTATGCCATAGGTCTGAAGCTTGGCATCCATTATACAGGGAAGAATCCGTTTATATATAGCACCAGCCCCATGAATAACTGCAAGAAAGTGTTAACTCCAGTAGGATTTTGGCATCCAAATAATAATTCAGTGGGTGGCACAACTGTCATTGCGAAACCATCTGATTTAATTTTGCTCAAGTCTGTTCACACATAGGTCAGAAGATTCATTCCTAAAGAAAAAACAACAAAATGAGTCTTATGCTACTATTGCTAAATATCAGTTTCCCTACTAAAGGGAAAAAAACTGGAGTGGACATTACCCAGGCTTCTTACAAACACTACATACAACACTACCAAAACCGGCAGATGGTGAAGCTCCAGCATAGGTCTGTTCATTACACAAATCTTTCCATAACTGGCAGAATGGCAAACTTCAATGGCTCAGGTAACATCTATCATACAAGAACGCCCAGATCCCAAGCTGATGCAGATTAACATAGCTTCACTGGTATCAATGGAGCTCTGCCGACTCACATCAACAAAGGACCAGGCTCCGTGTAGGACATTAGCAGGTCCAGACTTTAAAAAGGATGTATCTCTGTAAATGCCTTTATAGACTACATTCTGTTAAATTAACTGAAGGTTAAAAATATCCACTCCCATAAAACTGCAGTTATCATATTAATACCTTCACTGCACAATAGAGAGAACTGTTGGGTTTTGGTTTTTTTTAGTAAGAAGGAAATCATCAGAAAGATATGTGGGATAAGTCTGCTCTAGAATAATTAAACAGCAGATCAAGAAATTTAGTCTGTTACTGGCTTAATTTCCCAGGTTTGTATTATGTTGAGTGCTGGCTAAAGTAATGATTTCTGGTTGAGGATGTAGTTAGAGCAACAGGGAGGTGTGTACTTTCACTGCAAGCATATGGTTAGTAACCTAAGGTGAGAAGTGCTGGAGAAACGAAAGAATGTTGCAGGCAATGCCAGATGGTGGGACTTAAGATACCTCATTTAGCACAAAATGTGACACTAGTTTCTGAAGAAATTGTCCCCCACCCCATAAAACAAAACATCTTAAATGTAAACGAGACACAACAAATCACAGAACATAACAAGGAATGGGAACACACAATTATAAGAACTCATTCCGCTATTCCCCTCCCTTTCTCTGTGTTCTGAGCTTATAAAATAGGACATATTTGGGAAAACAGGAACAGATGGCACCTTGGGGATAGGGAAGAGAAGCCAGTGGGATTTTAAATGAGCATGGGCCACACTGGTGACAGAGAGAGAGAGGACAGCAAAATGTGAGCAAGTTAGAAGAGAGGGAAGCAGAGAATAATGGTGGCAGCGCTCATTAGTTAACCTTTTTCAGGGAAGGAAATATTATACTGGACTCATCACCAAGATCTTTACAGTTAAGTAAAATAATGCAAGGCTGTTCTTACTTGTTGATGTTTGCAAGGTAAATATCTGCGACGTGACCCCCACTTGGGCAACTGGCACCAGCTCTAGCAGTCACTTTTTCTTCCGGTGGCTCAGAATTTATTTCTATTTCAGACTTCGGACTGGATCTTTCAGAGACACCATCCTCACTAGGAAGGAGGAGGGAAGGAAATCACAACCAAAACAGGACCAACAGCACCGAATTTCAAATACAGCACTGTGTCTGTAAACATACATACAGGACGACAGCACCGTGCTAGCGTCTTTCTCTTCAGAATCATTTCAAATGAGAGCGCCTGATTTCTGTGAGCAACCTGGAGATCCCAGCTCTGTGTCTTTAACGGGCTGGCACCACCAGAACAATTTTTATGTCACGCCTCCACATACGTGGACACCTACGCCTCTGCGGAGCTCTGCTTGTTTCAAGAGGACTCCCTTCTTGCAGGGAAGGTCGAAGGATGAACTCTCCCCACCTGGTGTCAACCCCTTGGCACAAACACTCCATTCCACACCTGAGTTTTAAGCAAGCCCATCTTGCAGATGGGCTTAAAGTGTAACATACGTGTCTTGAACGACGATATACTGATGAGGAATAAGGCCGTCAATTCCATTGTGGCGTCCCTCCCACCAGTCATCTGAGGCCCGCTGATAGAGTAAGAGAGAAGCTCCTTTTTTAAAGGACAGCTCTCGTGCAGTCCTGCCAATGTAGTCGAACTTCGCTATTGCTTCTATGGGCTCACATTCTAGGAGATAGAAGGGAATAAACAATAATTCACTAAATACTTGGGCTCAGGTAAGTATTCAACAGTTTAAACCTACCATAAAACAGCTTATGACGAGAGCATGGAAGAGGATAAAGTGTCGCTTCTTAAGGCAGCAGAGGGTTGAAGCAGTAAGATTCAGAGGGGAACCCCTATAATATGAGGATGTTGCAATTTCAGCGTTTACTTAATCTCTGCATGGTGGACACATGCACGTTTTCCAAGTCATGAACCCACTCACGGCAATTCAAGCGTACAAAGGTGGAAGCGGCAACGGCATAATTAGGATCTCACTAAAATAAAATAAAATTCAAATCTGGGTAGCAGTCAGGCATGTTCCAGACAAAAATCTGCCTATGGTACGCCTTCCTAAAGGCAGCTAAACTAAACCTCCTGGGCAGGCAGGCAGGCGTCGTTATTAGCATTTAGGGAGGGAAACATCCTCTGATTCCAAGCTGCTTCAGAAATAAAGCGCCTATTCAGAAGGAAATTTCTGCTGCCTGTGAGGTTCACCTGACCCAGGAGACCGGATTCCGGCACCGTGGGAGGCCGTGCTATTCATCGAACTGTCACAGAAGCTAACGAAAACATTCAGTGCCTCCACTGCTGCGGTTTGTGCAGCGATCGGGAGAGCAAGCGGCTCCCCCGGGCTCCGTACAGCTGTGCTGCACCGTGCACAGCGGCACCGCGCTCGGGGCTGCACTACCTGCTCCAAATCTGACTGCTCCTACTTGAAAAGCTCACAGAAGAACTACAGCCATGCCGTGTCTGCAACCAGCCGCTAATCCGGGTCCCTGTAGGACTCGGGTATTATACAGAGGGACAATATGGGCGTTTAGACACTCGGGAAAATCAATATGAAATTCACGTGGATTATTTTTAAGACTCGGAAAAATCTGCCATTGGTTGAGTCTAAATATATATTAAGCCAGTTCCCAATTCTAGGCAGACATCAGGGGAATGGAGATGAGCTCAGCCACATGGCCCCAGTGGACTTCAGCCTCTAATTACTTTAAAGGAGCTTTAACACAGCCAAGCAGTCCACAGAAATTGAGATTATTTTTTTCCCTGGGAAAAAGGTTTGCAGTTCCTCTTCCAGGACAAGAAAAGATACGCCATTTCACTCTGAGGTCTCCTCTGCATCATGGGAAGCTTCTACAGTGCAACAGCCAGCCAAAAAGGACTGGGAGGGCAAACACGAGCCACAGGTTTTACAGTTATTCCTTGCGAGAGCATACACTCAAGAATTAGGTCTCCAAGGCTGCCCGTAGGCAGGCAAGGCAGCAGCTGGGCTTGAGAAAATGTGTAGCGTACGGTCCCTCAGAGCGAGCTGCCGCCGCAGTGCCACCGTCGCGTGGGCTGGTCTGCGAGAGCAGAGCAGGAGCATCCCCCAAAGAGCCCCATCAGCATCTGTAGTTACAAAGCTCCAAGTGACCACGCGCTGGGAGCAATCGGCAACAGGACCTGCTAGATCGACTCCCCAGCAGTTAATTTCTGCATTACTAAATCACAAAGCTCAGAATTCTGTCAAATCGCACACTTCAGGTAAGCCTGTGGTCAGCCTCACACGAATCCCGTTATCAGCCCTCGGCAACCAGTGGGATATTTGCAAGGGTGACAAAAGCCTGGCCCGTGTTTGCAGTTTGCGATAGCCGCCTTGCTCCAGACTCCCCAAAGCACAGGGTTATCTGGTTTTGGCTCCTTCTTTCCTCTTGTTTTGCCTCTGGAGCCAGCTTCTTCATAACACTAAAAACCCGATAATGCTGTTTTTTGGTGTCCCCCTCCATTTAGGAAGGGGATGGGAGTGTGGTTTTGTAAATTCCATCTGTTTCATTAAGAAGTGTTTATTGTTCCAGATGAGCGCGGCACTCAGGTTTCTTATGTTTCCAATTTGCTTTTTAGGACTCTGGCTTTCATCCAGAGAAGTGATTTTAGACTCTAATTTCCAGTAGCTTTTTCCTACTACACTTATGCTCAGAGAAGAAAGCTGTGCGAATAAAGAGAGCAATAACACTAAGCCAAACAATTACCCCTGCCAGTCTGACTGCCTGTGCAGGAAAGCAGCAGTTTAAAATCTTTCCACTCATACACATAATTTAACGAACATACGACCTGCTTGTCTTTCAGCATGTCTGACCTCTTATGCCCATCTCAAACCAGAGCATCCACTCACTCGTACAGCGAGGCTGACGGTGACAGCAGGGATGTTCTGCAAAACACAACCTCTCCCCCCACTCCAAACCCAATTCCTTCCTTCAATGAAGACGAGGGGATAACAACTTCACTTTGGGACGACTCAGTGCCAGCCTCACAAAAGAGCTAAAGGAACAAGTGCTTGGTCACATCTAAAGACTGAAGGAGGGAAAAAAACGAAGAGCATCAGTCCCACTGAGTTGCGGAGTCGTATGCTGCACGCCTGACGAGTACGCCCGAGGTGTGACACTGCACAGCTCAATTAGAAGGATGTGAGACTCAGTTAACCAGACCTTGCTGCTCCCTCAAAGCGACAGAGGCCAAGCTCCCTCCTCTGCTTTGGTGCCAAATGCTCCCTCCCAAATGCTTCCTATGGAATATTCCGTGTAGGTTGCAGAACTCCATCCAAAACGCCTCCAAATTTTACCTTGCTCAGGGGCCCCACGCAATCTAGTTCCAGAGACTGTAAAACAGTGTCTTCTCTAATCTCTAACTGCTCCTTTTCCCATCGTTGTGCCCTCGCAGCTACGTGAGCAATCTAAAAATCCCATACAGAAGCAATGCAAGCACACCCCATGGTGTTTCAGCCCGTAGAGTTTAGTCCCAGACCTTACAGATGCAGGATGAGTTAGCCTTTCCTTCGTTACAGCAACGAAATTGCTCCTTCTTTCGGTACCAACTCAAAAAGGACATGTTTTCATCCATTTTTAAGAAGCTACCACTTTTCAGAAAGAACACGACTGTTCAAGACAGACAGCGAACTCATGGTTCGTTCCTGTATGCTTTGTGTTTCCTCCCAACAACCTTGGTGAGGAGCCGCCGCGACAGTGCTTGGCCTTGCTGAGAGAGAACGGATTTTCCAGCATTTCTAACAGTGCTCAACATTGTTTACTTTGTTATTGGCGTATGAACATCACGAAGCCAGCAGGAGCACAGCGATGCTGTGGGAAAGGTTTGTTAGGCAACTGCTGGAGCAAAGAGAGCAAAAAGCAGCACAGGGACACATGGCAGAGCCATTGAGTAAACTGCTACAGACCCGCTCAAAAAGGATACCAGCTAATTGTCAGGGAATGCTACCTTCTTCCCACCTTTACAAGCGAGGCCATCGCAAGTAAAACCATTGCAGAACTTACTTCGACAATTGCACGGGGCCGAAACCCAAGAATAATACCATACTCTGTTCTGTTTTGGTCAGTCTGCTTTACACGCCAGCCAGTATTTTGGGGATCACCATTTCACACCAGTAACGTAATCTCTTCCTCTACTCGGCATGGGGCTCACGTGCAGCCGTTCCCCATCGCAGAAGGCAGCTTTGGAAATATTGACAGCAGACATGCCGAGACTGCAGTGTCACCTTCTCCTTTGGAAATACTCTGAAATTCTCAGCATTGGCACCCCTTTTTTCACTGGTCAGAAAAGAAGGGTAACAGGGTTTGCCAAAGATGACCCAAAAAATTAGAGAGGCCCCCAGGCCCCTCTAGCCTAAAACCTGGCCTCCCAGTCGAAGACAAACAATTTTTGATTTTACTTTGCTTGCTTCCTTAAAGCAGAAGCACCGGGGCTTAAGGCACTCTCCAGTCCCTTGCCAGAGCCACCGAAGGGGGAAACGCCTGGCAGACGCAGAGCGGAGCAGGAGCGCACGCTGAAACACATCCAGCCTTCGGCTCTACGCTTCCCCCATGACGTCCAACTCTAAGATCCTTCTGGGGTACAGATGAGCTCAGTCAGTCATGCAAGCGTGGAGTGTGCCCAGGCCTGCTGCTAAGATAAGATACCTTGAAAAAGGGATACTTTCAAAATAGTGAGGAAACTTCTGAAGATTCCTGTTGATTCCATACCTTTTTACTTTTTGGCATCAAATGCTGTATGCGAGGTTTCAAGTGACTATTCTGATTTAAACTCCACTTTGGATCTAACTATGAACTTAAATTGCAAGGCACTATCTTCCCTGCCTCCCCCGCAGCAGGTTGCACCAGTTAACCAAGGAGTTAATAGACTTTGCATACCATCATCACTGGTGTGGTGTTCAGCCGTAACGTCCTGAACCGAGTCTTCTGTTGAGGCTCTCTCTCCGTGAGGACTTTCACTACAACAGAAGGAAGCAGAGAAGATGCGTTACACTGGTAGAAATTGAGTTTCCTCATTTACAAAAATCAAAGATAACTTAACTAGGAACACCCATATCGGAAGTCAATATTTAAGTTCCACTGTGACAGACGGGCTGCGGATGCATTTGCACATACTGAAGTTAGTGTGTCTAAAAATCAAGCTAAGTTCTCATTTGATCAAGCAAACCGAACATCTTCGTTAACCTTCTTGCATGCTATCAGCAAAGTCCAACTTCAGATCTTGTAACCCAGACCTCTGGAGATGTTCAGAAGCCAGACAGCAGTGGCATGTTTGGTCTAGCTCCGCTCTGCCATGCCAGAATTATTCCCTCAGCTGTATTCTCCATTGCTCTAATTAGCTCATTAGATGACTGATGAGATAGCTGCCACTTCCTGGGGGAAATTATTTCTCAATTCATAATGATATTTCCAGGTCTGAGTTTGTCATCTCCCTCCTTCCCTTTTATCACAATCTTAACTTGTCCCGTTCATTTTACTGAACGACTCCCATAGCCAGAATCGTCTGGAATCTTTATTTACAGAGCACCTAAAACCACCAAGAGTACTCATTTATGTTTTGCATGAAGAAAAGCTTTGAAAGGATCAATAGACAACAGCGGCAACCAAAGGTTATGTTTTTGTAAGAAGCTACATGAGCAGTTCCCTCAGGACAGGAGCAGAAAGGAAACTGGACGAGGATCCGTTGCCTCTCCCGGCAGCTCCGCAGACCTGCTGCCAGCTGGCAGCGCCGCCTGCCTGCCCTGCCTGCTCGCGTTCGAGGGAAAAAACTGCTCGCTCCTCATCTTACCAGACGCTGTTGCTAAAGACAAAACGCGTTTGCCGCACTCTTACACTGTAACTCGTTAAAGGTGGTTTTTAATTCTCTCACGCAGTAATAACTTCCCCCCTCGTTTTGGCCTTGCAGTGGGTAAAGTGATCAGGGATGTAAAGCGCTCTCGCTTTGGTAATCTACCTCCTATGCTCTTTTAAAAGAGAGGAAAAAAAGAAAAAGGAGAAGGGGTAAAACATTTGGATAATTCTGGCGTGTCATTATGCTCAATCCAGATGACACGAAGCTGCCCCAACATCTTCTGAGTCAGTTCCTCAGGAATCAACCTTTCCCATCCTCTGCAAAGCCTTTATTCTACTTAATAAAGTTTACAGAAGAACCTGAAGCCAGATGGAGGTCTCAAGAGGAACACAGCACTGAGGGCTAAAGTTTCACACAGACTGTGAAGTAATGTCGCGTACAGCCAACACTACAGATTCAAACACTGTGCAAAAACCACGTGCCTCTTCCTATCCATGCCTCCAACAGCACTTGCCACCAAAAAACCTGTCCTCGCTGCAGACTCAGTCTCTCTGCCATGTGAGCCCTGGGATGCTGCAGTGGGAAGCACTGGGCTGCCGGGTTTCACCCCGAGGGCTGCAAAAGCAATATATACTGCCAGAGGAATGCAGTGCAAGTTGAGAATCTATAAGCTATCTCCTTCCCTGCGACTCCAAAGGTCGCACTTGCCGGCACGCAGAACTCCTGGACTCTCCCCATGCTATCCTCGTGCAGTCTCCGACGGACAGACACAGCACAGCCCTGGGCTTGACTCAGAGGCAGTATTGCAAAGATACACAGCCCTGAATGTGTCATACACTCTGAACCTTGCCCTACTCCTTTTCACAGCTCCCCGGCAGCTGCTGACTCCAAGCGAGTGCCGCTCGCAGCGCGAGCGCAGGCACGGAGGCGCAGAGCACACGAGCCGTGGCGCCGAGCCCGGGCAGCCTCCACGCCAAAGCACCGTCTGCGAGCGCCCTGGCACGAGGAGGACTCAGCCCAGTGAAGTGGCACCGGGAGATCACAAACGTAGCGGGCTCCATTCCCTGATGAATCAGCTGAACGACAAGGATTCTCTCCGCTGCTTGCACGCTTTGCGGCAAGGAGCCCTATGGGCAATAACTAACAACTATCTAAATACCAGGGCTATGAGAAAGCCTGAATGGGAACCAGATGCTTCTTCCTGACTTTAAGCAGTCTGCCTCGCTTGCTTCTACCCTTCTCTGCTTAACAGGGTCTGAGGTCAGGGTGGTTAGGAAGGGCAAGGAAGAAAAAACAAATGCCTTCAGAAAATCGATATTACCTTCCAGGATATTTTGTCTCCTACACACCCACATGAAGCATCACCCATACTACAGCGTGTGCTGAACGTTGGGCAAACTGTTCCAGTGCCTCACCACCCTCAAAGTGAAAAATTTTTTCCTAATGTTTAATCTAAACCTGCCCTCTTCCAGTTTGAAGCCATTCCCCCTCGTCCTGTCACTCCATGCCCCAGTAAAAGTCCTTCCCCAGCTCTCCTGGAGCCCCTTTAGGGACTGGAAGGCGGCAATAAGATCTCCCTGGAGCCTTCTCTTCTCCAGGCTGAACAGCCCCAACTCTCTCAGCCTCTCCTCATAGGAGAGGTGCTCCAGCCCTCGGATCTTCCTCGTGGCTCTCCTCTGGACACGCTCCAGCAGGTCCATGTCCTTCTTATGTTGAGGACTCCAGAGCTGGATGCAGCACTCCAGGTGGGGTCTCTTGTCAAAAACCTCTTGTCAAAGATTTATAATTTTTTTTCTCTACAATTCTTTCACATATTACATCAGCTAAAAACATCAGAGTGAAGGGTAAAACAGAATTTCCAAAAGAGGCTCTGGCAAGTCTTCTGCATCCAGCAGTTAGTACAGAGGAGCCTCTCCTCACCGCATGTATGGAGACGGAGGCGATAGTTAAAGCTACTCTGAGACAAGTCAGGCAAACAAGGCTAGCTCTGTCACCAGAGTGACTTCATTTTTATAATGTATTTATTTTAGTATATGAAAATAATCATTTGCATTCCTGGGACACTGGAGGAGGGAAGGAAGAGGGGGAGAAGCAGGACACAATTTAACATTCCTCATTTTCAGAGGGAGAGATCGGCTTGGCCAGTAGGAAAGAAAACACCTCCTTTCCTTCCCCCACTCCCCAACCTTCCACCCCAGATGACAGGAGCCGCTCTGGCTGAATTGTTTCCAGATGTGGCTTTCAGACTGAACACGCGGCTGGGCCTCTTGAGCTTTAAGCTGGATGGAAACGGTGATTTTGCATTCCTCTCTCTTCCCTCCCCCACCATCAGTGCTACCCTAAAAATCAAACCACGCCACAGCTTTCCAGGTTCAGTTGCAAGTGACCCCTGTGTCTGAAACAAAGGCACTCAAGACAAGCAGAAAAAAAGGGAAAAGAAGGAGAAAGAAAAAAAAAAAGATTGATTTTGGCAGCTACCATACCAGAACATCCAAGAAAATCCCTACACAACCTTGCCCTTCAAGATAAGTGAGCTGGGTTTGACAACTGGATAGCTACTTTCTACCAGCTTATTTCTTTTAAGTTGATGACTGTCCAGAGACACCACAGCCATCTTCTCTTCCATAAAACAGATTTCTGAAAGGCTGGGCCAGATGCTCGAATCCAGAATTAGACAATGCAGAACGCGTGACTGTAACATGCTAACCCATAAATAAATATCCACCCATTCATTTTCTCCTTGGTGGTATCTATCATACCAGTAATCCTCAGTGTTTCCACCTCTGCTATAGACTGGACCCTCCAGCTCCCTTGGTCCTGGGAAGATGTTCTCATGTTGGATGATGATGGTTTTGATCAATTCATTGACATGAGCTTGGCAAGAGACTTGATCATGACCTTCAGGCACAGACATCAGTGTTGGCCCAAAGCAGATGGCTAAATTGTAGGGATCCATCATGTTCTCTTCACTGAACTGAGATAAACTGCAAAAGACAGATGTGGGGAGGAGGGTTAAGAGCAGAAAACAACGTCATCATCATCATCATGATCTGCTGGAGAACACACAGCTGATGGGAAGGTTTGCTTTGGGCTTTCTGCTGTTTAAAGCTGCTCGGCTGGTACATGAACGTTCTGAGTCTGTGTAAAAAGTGAGATACGGATGGCACTTAGGGAGAAATGAAAGAGAAACCCCAAAGGAAGTTTGAAAGCTCAAGACTAGACGAAAAATACTGGGTGCTGACTTTACAAGGGGAGGACATTTTTCTTAATCTTTGTCTTTAATTCTTCTGTATTATTGCTGTTCATAGCCCACTTGCAGCCCAGCACTCAATACCAGAGTTATATCAGGTGCTCTCTGCATAAGTGCCTGTGTGCAGAGTGTTACACCCTTTCTCCAAGGCCCAGGAGCTTCTATATGGTGCCATTTTTTAAAACACAATTTTCGTCTCACTAAATTTTGTCCCAAACCTACCATGTAAACCTTTCTGATACCAATTAAAGATTGAACAGAAAACTTAAGTTGCAATACAACTCTCCTTGAAACTCCATGTTTTCTAGATCACTACATGCAATAATTAAAAGCTACTGAGACTGGAAAGTCACATTTCAGTGACTCCAGGAGTGACATCTGTGAAACAAACTCCCTGCTTTCCAAAGAGAAATAACCACTTGAATATATGGATAGGTTTACTAAATGTCCTGCTCCGTTTTAATACAAATCTAGAAGAGCCTCAAACCCTAACACTTTCATTTTAATTTAAGCAATAAGATATTCATCGAAGGTAACTGATGAACCGGAGCTTTACAAAAGCAGACAGTAAGCCTCAGGTCTCTGTTAGGTCAAAGTACTGTCTTACAGTTGCATTTCTCTCTCACCTAAATGGTATTCAAAGGGCTGTGACAATGTATATAGAACCTCCTGGTTAGGACGTTTTTCCTTTATGCTACACCCCAGGTGTCAGGACCATGTTAGTGGAGGAAACTATTGACTCCTTGCTGCCAAGGTATGCAAGTAACCAGCCCCGTGGAGACGACTGTTTTTAAAAAGACACACTCACTCTCTAGCACTCACGCTACGTAGTACACAGTGCTCCGTGCTGGTGCGGTGCCCAGTTTCTGACTCTTTCATATCACTTTTTGCTTGGATTACCAGCACATTATTCACTTTCATTTCTGGAACTCCTTCGAGACTGCATTCGAGTCACTGGGATGAACTTCAACCAGGCTGAAAAGCCCAGGAAGGCAGACAAAACAGCAAACTACTGTGGCATCTGCACCTTGAACTGTTGCTCAGCTCACACGCAGCAATGTTAAGGCTGGTTGTTGTGCCATTCGTTACGTTTACACCAAGTACTGCAGCAGGGCCGTGGCGCTCTCAGGGATACTCACTGACTGAGGAATGCAAAGAGGTATCTCATTACAATCAGAGTGGTCTTCGGCAGGTTCAGAAGCACTTTGCGGATGTGGAGCGCTCTCTCTTGTAGATTATCCATTGCTGAGAGGAAGAAAGAGCACCAGAGAGTCATCACGTCACCGTACCCACAACCAGTCACTGAGTCCAAATGCAACCAGTATACTATGATGGTTCCTGTGCAAACCATTAAGAAGGGCAGCCAGCAGGGCAGCCGCAGCAGCAGGAGGGAGGAAGGGTCTGCCCATTTCCCGGATCCTCCAGCGCTGCCTGCCCAGCACGGGAACGCCAAGGCTGCCGAGCCTGTTGGCGAAGCCTTTGACAAAGAAGGTCCCTGAACATGTGAAACTTCACTGCGAGTTCCTTCCTAGCGTGGGAGCACTGGATGTCATCTGTTTCAATGGTTCTGGCACAATAGCTCATTCAAGTCAGCTTAGAAAGGTGGGTGTTTAAAAAAGAAATTGTATAACACTCAAAGGAAAATTAACATAGTTAAAGGGTGAGGCAAAAAGCTCTGTGTGCAGCAGCCTACTGAGAAATAAGTGGGCAGCATAAATCATCTCAGAAGGGAGAACTTATTTGGAAGCAGATTTTTCTTTTCCTATAATGTGAATTCAACTCTGTAAATGCATTTATCAGGAGAAGAAAACCACGAGCCGTTTTAGAAGCAGTTATCTTCTGCTTTACTTCAAAGGCTGCCACCGCAAAGGCCATTTCACTACTTGGACAATAGAATCATTCTTCGGTTCTGAAGGACATGGCACTAGTCAGGCCATTTAAGATGAGATCGTTCACGTACAAAAAGCACAAACAACTCTCTGCCCACCAGAACCACCTTTAGAAACCATCAAAAATGTTAACAACTGGACTGTGACCGCCCTCATGATTCATACTCTTTAACAGGAGTCAATAGATGGCCCCGCGTGGTGATGAAGCTAAAAGGTGTATGACTGCTACCCTGGCGGCCGAGGAGAGCGTGCAGAAGCCCAGCAGCAGACCTACGGGCAGTGTGTGTCTATCAATGCCAGGGAAAGTGCGTGGGGCAAGAAACCCTGATGGCGATGCCCGCTTCCGAGAGGGCATTTCTGACACCTTCTGATGAGAGGTCTTCGTTTTTTGGAAGTGGAGGTTTTTGCTTTATTCTGTTTTAAGAATCATGTCACAAAGCACTCTCTTAGAAAAATCTATGCCACAGCCCTTAAAATCTATTAATTTCTATCTCGAGCATTCATTCAAAAATTGCTATCAGAATTAGGATGGCTGTAACCAGGTAAATGTCCAGACTCTGGCTAACAGAGACTCAGATACCAGTGCAACACAAACCCAACCAAAGTAACCATAAAAAGACTATTTTGGAGCCAAGAAAAGGGGGGAGGGGAAGAGAGGACAGTGGAAGGTGAGATTGGAAAAATTAATCTTATTTCTTTTCAGATCTTCATATACTTACTGACACAGGCAATCAGATCATGAAAGATATCCTTGGGGAAGAGAGGGTGCTCCAGCCCTCGAAAATAGAGCTTCAGAACTCCTGCTATCGAATCCATGTCATGGTCATTCTGGTCCCCAGCCAGTGGGTCTTCCCCTTCATGACAAACAAAGAAAAACAGGCAAGAAAATTCAAAATACTGGAGAAACGAATCAAACTGGAAGGACGCACCTCAGCTGGAGAAAAGGATTTATGCAGCATAAAGTTAATCCCACCTACTCCAACTGCACTACAACCAGCGTGAGGCAGAGAGAGATCTCTCCTGCGCATCGCAGTCAAGAAGAGAAGCCTCTGACAGCAGTCCCAGGAGACCTGGGACAGCTTTCTGTCACACAGACTACAGTCTGCCACCGGAGCGCCTGGCTCACGCCCACGGAGGGTGGTGATGCTCCTAGAGCGGTAGTAACACCTCCGGGCTCTGCGCTCGATAATTTGGTAGGGTGGGAACTTCACAGATCCACCACGGAGGTGAACGCTACACAAGCCAGGAGCGGGTCTTTAGGCAAACTCACACCCAAAGCTAAGGGGGATTCGGTGCCCGCACAAGAGGCCGCTGAGCATCGTGCCTTGGCTCAGCAGGACACAGACATCTCGCGCTGAATGGGCTGGGGGAGTGTTTCTGGGACAGATCATTTGTCACTGCAGATATGCCACGGTTTGTCTGTATTACAAAAGAAAAGATGCCCACTTAAGGAGTTGTTCCCTAGGGAAAACTCCCTATCACGTATAATTAGATTTAATGATGGGGCAATCCTCAAATTGAAGCTATATATATCCATTATGTGACTGAAATTACCAAAGCTTGCCTATTATCTTAATAACACACAGGATAATAAATGGGCCACTACAAACCGGAGTATTATCCTTGATATTAACTGCCACCAAGGGTTCTGGATGAAGTAATAAACTGCAGAGACATTATTGTTAACTTTGTCAGTTCTGTATATCATATGCTTTACAGAGACAAGCGAGATGAAGAAAAAAAAACCAACCAAACCAAACCCATCACCTTTTTATTTCTGTACGTTAGTGCTGGAATAACTGGCTGGTTTCCCAAGATGGCTGTTATTTCCTTTATTTAAAAAAAGAGGTCTTTCATTCTGATATCAAGTCTTTACCTACAGCCTATGATATACATTTCTGTTTCCTCTATTCTTGAGGATTTTAGTTCTCAGGTAGATGAAGACAGGTGAAATTAGATGCCATGTTTCATACATGTTGTCCATGAAACTCCTCTCTTCCCAAAAGCCAAAGAAACTTGCTATGCCTAAGAAATTACTGCTCGTCTCTTCCAACAGCAAGCGTAGAAACACACCAACTGTATTCTTTTAGAGTGATGTATTCAGGGAATTAACACAAGCCCTGTTGTTTCCAGTGACCCAAGCAAGACTGGGGAGATGGGCTGCAAGGGCGGCCTGAGGAGCAACTCCTCTGAACCTGCTCTGCCAGGGAGAACAGCCCAGTTAGAAGCTGATGAGTCAGGAGGCTCCCAGCCGTTCTTTGCCTTTGTATGGAATGGTTCTTCCCATGGAAAATCAAATCCATTAAAAGCTATCTCAAGTTAACAGTGTCTTGAAATTTACTCTCTCGCTTGCTGATACTCAGAATAAAATACAGCCAAGCTCTGCCTCAAGAACATGGAAAACACAGAACTTCATCCTCTAGCAGCCAACCTGTTCACAAAGAGCTGGGGGAGAGGGCAGGGAAATGCAGTTACACCTGATAATGAAATTCCCTATATCCTTTAGTCTTACAAATAATCAATAAACTATCAGACATGAGAGAAGATTGAATTCATTGTACAGACACTCTACAGGACATAAAGCACAATGCCAAACAACTGAGTATTCAAGGTTAATGGGGACTAGGAAAGTGTTTGGGCTAGACTCACTTAGGAAACACAAAAATCAAAGGATCAAAATATAGCAACTTGCATTGAAAATATGTCATTTCAGAACATTTAAGCAAAGTAATACATTTGGCAATAATTTCTGAGATCCTCCTTACCTCTCTCAAATGCATTTTTTATGTCATTTACTTCAACTTGTGACCCAGACACTCTGAATATCCCTTCGTGCTGCAAACCTGTAAGACAATAAGAGACACTGATAACAGTAAGATAAGATAAGATGGCTCCTTCATCAGCTACAGCATATATGACAAAGGAAACATAAGCAACACAGGCAAACGTATACTGTTTTAAAAGCCATCTTTCCCTTATATGTCCAAGCACATACAGAATATGCAAGAACAGAACTCAGCACCACGGAGAAAACATATTAAGCCTTTTTCGCAAACGGACAGAATAACTGGGTTATAAAAGCCATGCATGTTATCTTTTACCCTGAAGGATCCCCAAAGGATTTAAAGTCATAAAATAACGGTATGAAGTAAAATATGGCTAACTACACAATGAAGCAGTTTATTTTGCAAGAGAGATACCGCAAATGCCCAGAGCAAATCAGCCAATTGAAACAGAAACATTTAATTACCCCAGCATGACCTGCTAGCTAGGGCTTTAGGACAGACTTTAAGACATTCTTGCTAAAATCTAGGCATTAGCAATGTCATTAAATCCAATTATCAAGTAGGCGAGATGTTCCAATATATTGCCATCGTAACAATTTTGTTGGTACATGTAAGATGAGGAACAACCATTACAAATCAACTAATGAACAAAGTGTACGCTTCACGGAGGGAAATCCACTCCCATTCATTCAAGGCTTGTACCTGTAGACTTTCTGAAACAGGGAATGCTGCAACATCTTTGCTTTATATATAATAATGGCTATAAACTAATAAGCTCTCTTGAACGCACCTGTGGCCTCTTCCTCTCAATTTCCGCAACTGTTTTTATCACAATGCCATGAAACCTTCGCAGCACGTGGCTGTATCTGGTAGCTGCGACACACAGCTACGAACAGTGAAAAGAAAAAACCCCAAGTGCAGAGCAGCAAGAATGAAAATGACATTCATCCCACACCTACGCAGCAAAACATTTAGAAATGTCAGGCTACCTCCAACGAAACCCATTCCTGCACTGTAAGCGCATCAGGCAGGCAGTTTTATCACTTCTGCCTAAAGTGGATTTGTTGTATAAAAGCACGTTCCTCCTAATTACAAACTGTACCTGTAAGGCCATGATGTGACATTCAGAGCAAGAATCAGCTGAGTCTGTTGGAAAAAAAATCTTTCTGTTGGGGATCTAAGCGAACTCAGAAATAGGAGTTTAAAAAATAAAACCTCCTAATGGCCCTGATTTGGTTCGCATTGCAATGTGGTTTCAATGACTTTTCCAGCAAATGTCCAAGTATGGACTTAATGAAGGATTATAGCACTTTGATCTTCCAAGTGATGATGAGAATGGGACTCTAGATTATAGTTTCTAAAATGGTAATTAAACAAGGAAAATTAAACAAGACCTACTATCTGGCTCCGTGTCTTGGTTAATGAAGATAAATTCAACCTCTTTCTACATATGTTAATTAACAGCTGTCTCACATGCTACTAACAAATGATATCGATTAAAAATGAAAACAAATTACAATAAACCCATAAAATCCTTTACAGCATTCAAGGCTGTGAAGTTAACCTTCGAAACAGGTATAAATCATCTCATTGCAGCAATAAGTAAGCAATTAATTCACTACTTGACCTCCTACATTCAAATATTTAGTGTTCCTCCTCCTCTAAGAAGAGGATGATGATTGTTGATGAAGGCCACATCTCAGCGCTCAAAGAAAGGTGAGTGGACGTGAGGCATGAGTGTTATCTAAGGATGGGAACCTTATTTTACAAGGAACAAAAGGATATTGTTGGAAGAACAACATTTGCAAGGTCAGTTATTTGCAATAACCATTTGGAAAAGCGATCACACGCACGATGCCAACACCACAGCCAAAACGTCAGCGATAGTTTCTTCATATTGCAGTCTCCAGGATTCCTCTGCACAAGCACTGTGGCCTGAGCTACTCTGAGCATTTTTCAGAAGGCTTCTACATCACCGTTCATTTTATAGAAATACCACAGGATACCTTTTGTCCATAAACTCACCATGTCTGCTAATGAATCGTATGCAGCTCTCCACCACCAGGGGAATGGCTTGTGAGGAATCCTGCACAAAGAGAAATTTGAACAAGAAGAGCCATCAGAATGCAGAGTGATGCTAAAGGGGAGGGGGGAGAATGGAAAGCAAATTTATCCTCTCATCTGCCATATTCTGCTTCCATGCAGTTCCAGATGTGTTTAGTTTCTGGACCAATTGCCGAACACCTCAAATATGAGCAATTTCAGGATTGCACCACACTCCTGTTTTCTCACAAAGATTTAAAATAGCTCGTCGGTACCCTACGGTCATGAGGTGTGCCATACGGCTCATGGAAAACACTGCCTTCAGTCCAAACACAGTGAAACCTTCTGGATTGCCAGTTTCCAGCTTAAACAACATTCATCGAGACTTTCATTATGGAAATAAGCCTTTACACTTCCCTAGTCTCTGCTTCACAGCATAGAATCATAGAATGGTTTAGGTTGGAAAGGACCTTGAAGATCATTGAGTTGCAACCCCCCTACCATAGGCTGGGACATCATAGATTACTTTTCAGACAACCGAAATTTCTGCAATGTCTGCAGTTATTCCTCCCATTTTGGGGAACAGCAGCTAAGCAACAGAGGTGCTGCTGTTGGCTTAAGGTCAGATGCCAGTGATTAAAATTACCACGTGATTAAAACTTCCAAGGCCCTGTTTATGTACAGCCTCTTCTACAGTAGTTTTGGGCAGCAATACCTCTGATTTGTATCAAAATGCTCACTTGTTAGCACGCTAGAGCATCACATTTCAATCAGTTCAAAAAGATGACAGTCTACTCAAAAATATATATATATATAAAAACCCAATTCTACTGTTTTCCTAACTTCTTTAGGTTTAATGTTGTTTTGTTTTATTGAAATGTCATAGAACTTGGTCACATAGTGACAATAATTTCTCTACTAATTAGCCATAGCCAGTTAGAACTCGTCTTCTACATGCTGTACAGAACAACACCAACCAATTAAGAACACTTCAGAAGCCATTCTGCCGCTCAGCCGGCCCCTGAGGACACGCTTTATTAATAATCATCCAAACAGCATTACAACCCCCCTACTTATTTTTGAGTTTGACAGTAGGAACTCGAAGAAGCGCATATTCTGGGTCCCCAGCAGAGACTAAAACTCTCGGGATAGTTATGTTTTAAACTGTTAGGTCAGATTCAAAAAAGCCCACTAAACCCACATGCAAGTGATTTCACGTAGGTTACTGCGAGCTGTGGCTTCAGTGTTCGCAAACAGATTAATTTTTAATTTAGGTTTCCAAATCAGAGACTTCAGTCGCTTCTACTTGAGTCAGAATACATTTCTGAGACACCTCAAAAACTATTTGTGAAAATGGCAATCGGGACACACACGTACTTCACTTTCAGCATAGGAAAGGGCCGTTTTTAGAGCATAAATAAAGGAACAACAATTACGCTCAGAAAATGAGAAAGGTTTGACTCTGCACACCAAAGCCACAACTTGCTCTCTTACTTAATTTCCAATACAAAGAGATCCTAAAAAATATAAAGCAGCATCCCAAGACAGACGGTGTGAAATAAAGTTCCAAGCCAACTTTTGTCTTTACAGTAGCAACAAGAAATATTTTGGTTTTTCTCTATCTCCAAGAAACACATTTTAGCTCATCAGGTACTAAAACGTAACAGATTTTCCACCACAGCCCAGGAGACAGAGCATCGCTGTCGTAAGTCGTTATTACAAGAAGGCACAACACGTGAGCAGTTACTGGTTTAACAGCACTGTGGTGGGATACCAGTGCAAATAAAGGGAAAAGAGAAGAAGAAACAACAGCATGAAACCCATAAACCACGACTGTCCCGACAGCTCAAGGCTGTTTGGCATTTTTAGTTCCAGGTCTGTCAAAACACAGAGTAAAATTATTTTTAAATTTTGTCAAAGAAAGTGAATCAAGGCTGTGGATCCATGTTTTCTTGATTCCAGTTACTGAACGAGCAGACACCAGTTCTGCTTGAACAGACTGAAAAGGTCCAGGTAAGAGAGGGAGGGAAGGATAAAAACACTTCCCTGTTCTCCATCTACCCTCCTCTACACAAACACACACCTTTCCCTCTTCTGTTACTTAAGGAAATGTTTCTTACCTGCTTCCTTATGGTGGAGCTGCGCCGGCCGCTGGAGAGATCAGAACCGCCCATTGGTGCAGGAGGGAAAAACAGAACAGAAAAGTCAAGATAATCCTCTACTATCGCCCTTCTCCTTTGTTTGGTATTCCAAACCATGCGTATTTTGGAGGAGGGAAAGGAGTCAGATATACACGTCAATCATAATGACTTAGTCTCATTCGATTTACGGAACTTCAGAAAGATTTTACGTGACTTTAAATCACTAAACCCCTGGAATTGACGCAAGGGAGTCCACCACTTTGACAAAAGGCTCCCCTTGACATTTTAATTCCAACCGTATGGAAAGCTGTTATATAGGGCTCCTTGTTCAAGATGAAGTTTGTTATAAATTACACATAGCTGTTCTCTGACAGAGCCCCTCTCAGAGGGGGGAAGCGGGTGGGAGCATGCTGGTTCCTACCGCGCTGTTACCAGCGCCCATTGTGGAGTCTTTGTTACAATTTCTGATAAGACTTCAAATAAATAAATAACACCACCACCCCCCACAAACGCCAGCGCACACTAGCCAGGCTGAGCCTTTTCAGTAAAAACCATGATGGTCTCATTTATTTATGCTGGTAGACATCAATTGTAGAAAAACAGGAAAAAGTCTTGCTTTGCCAGGATTTTTCCCCTCAAAATTTATTACTGGGGTTTCAAATTCCTAAAGTTTCTTGTAAAAATGAAGCATGAGAGATAACAGTGGAGAGGCCCTAATGTATCGTTCAAGCCAATTCCCCGCTAGGGCAGATGGCTGCTGAATTATAAATAAGGCGATTAGAACTGTGATTTTTAAAAAGACCGTACAATGTGTTAATTCAGGGGAAATTCCTTTTATAAAAATCAAAAACACTGAATGAAAAAAAAAGAAATCAGATTCCATGGGCTGTCACAGACAATAAGGTCTATTTTAAACTATTAGCAGTAATGATTCTTTGATATTTAAAATTGTTTCATGATGAATAATATTTTATTATTACAGATGTCAGGCTCTAATTAGGACCTGTCAGCTTTGCTTTGCTGTAAGGAATGTGAAAAGTAGTAATGACTCCAGATCGGTAGTAATCACCTTCCCTTCGTTAACACGGCAGGATGATGCACAGCCCCTACTCCAGCTCCTCCTGCCCAGCCGAGCCCTCGGAATCCATCAATTTGGAGATGGAGATTTGTTATCTTTTATAAAAATCCCATCAGGAGGAGCTTAGTTATGGTTCTGTGATTGGTCCTAATTAGAAATGAAAAGTTTATTCTCCGCGACCTCTATAGTGCTGCAATCCAGTTCCACGGCACAGCAGAGAGCATCAACGGGATGAAGAGTTTTCCAGTTTAGGTTACAGCAGCCACGTGGATAAACCCTGCAGAGCCACGGGCCCATCTCCCTCACGGAAATACAAATGTGTTTACAAAAATCTTAGTCTGAAGAATACTTCTCCGGGTGATAGTGCCAAATTAAACAGTTTCTCACACCTGCCTGTCCCCTTCCTGATCTGGATCAAACGCACAGGGGCAAGAAAAAATGCAAGACCTCCATGTAGCCTTTTTTTTTTTTTTTTCTCTCTCTCTCCTTTGGTTGTTTTTAACCCCAACCAGTTTCCCAACCTGTTGCAACAGGCAGCCCTGCCAGCAGGTGTACGGTCACAACTGCGGCGGCAGCACAGGGCAGCAAGAAGCAAGGAGAGGTGTTTCTGCAGGCACTGCATCACAGCAAACATTCATTACTCGGCTGACCAGAGGTTACTACCCATAGGCATAAGCCGTACCGCTACTTTGCCCTGATGTAGGTAATAGCCATGGCATTTAAAGCCATATTA